GAAGTCATTCAAGCATTAAGCATCAGTTGGGTTTGTACCTCCACTGCCCCTTCTAGCTTCAAGGGTCTCTAGCCAGAGCTTTATTTAAGAACTGCGCATCCTTTAAGTGCTGCTAAAGGGTAAAGAAAGACCTCCCAGATCTAATGCAAACATCCAACAGAAGTCTAATGTTCCCCTTCCTCTTTTGCCTAACAAAAGTATCCCAAATATGACAAATCTTTACATTTCAAAATCTAAAGTGAAGAGGCTAAAGAATAGGAACTTATTGCTCCTTGAAAAGTTTATCAAGATTACCTGTGTGGGACGGACGCAGGTCATCAAATACTGAAATCATCATCTCATAGATATGTCCTGCGGCAACCACCTCTGGGTTCTCATAATCCAAATCTTGGGCAACCTTAGAGAACAACATTATTCCAGCTAAAAGGACCAATTTTTTTAATGCACATGTTCTAAGTAATAGAAAAAAAGACAAGTGTATGGTTATTTTCATTTCCTAGGGATGACACCCAAGACTGGCCGAGGCCGACACAGAAAAATCAAGGTTTTGGTGGAACAAAGGGACATCTTGGATTTTCATCCAGAGAAGCTGACTTTTGAGAAAACATTCTGGCAGAGTAAAACAAAACAAAACAAAACAAAAATCAGGATCATATCCGGTCTTCATTTTACCTTAGGAAAAAATGTTTAAGAAGAAAAAATATTTTGAACAGGCTTTGGAAGTAATAAAATATTATAAAAACATAATTTATTTCTATTAATGGTAAGTTGCATTGTATTTCAAAAGATATTTATTGGGTACTAATTAGATGCCAATTACAATCAGAGGTACTAGGGATATAGAAGTAAATAAGATGAGCCGGCATGGTAGCACACATTTATAATCCCAGTAGCTTGGGAGGCTGAGTCAAGAGGATTTTGAGTTCAAAGCCAGACTCAGCAAAAACAAGGCACAAAACAACTCAGTGAGACCCTGTCTCTAAATAAAATACAGAACAGGGCTGGGGATGTGGCTCAGTGCTCTGTGCCCCTGAGTTCAATCCCCAGTATCAAAAAAGAAAAAAAAAGAAGTTAATATACTCAGCCATAAAGAATAATGAAATTATGTCATTTGCCTGTAAAAGAATGGAGCTGGAACTATAATTCTAAGTGAAATAAACCAGTCCCAAAAATCTAAAGGCCAAATGTTCTCTAGCATGCAGATGCTAACCCACAATGTCGGGGGAGGGATGGAGAATGGAAGGTCACTGGATTAGACAAAGGGAAATGAAAGGAAGGGAGGGGGATGGGAATAGAAGAGACAGTGGAGTGAATGGGACAGAACTTTCCTAGGCTCATATATGAACACAGGGAAACTCCACATCATGTCCAACCACAAGAGTGGGAAGTTAGACTCCATGTATGTATGATATGTCAAAATGCACTCTACTGCCACATATAACTAAAAAAAAAAAAAACAAATAAAAAATTTAAAACAAGTAAATAAATATGAACCCCTTATAAATATACATATCCTGCCCTCTAATAAGAGCAACAACCAAACAGACAGTTACAACAAAGTCTATTAAGAGATGTACAACCTATCATGTGAATCTTTAGCAGAGAGAACTAAGCCAGTTAAGGTGGTAAACGAAAGCTCTTAGGAATAAGTGACATTTAATACCTAAAGATAATTATTCAAACATAGAGTTTAATTAGAGATAAGTGATGAATGGAGGTAGTTATTCAGATA